GATGTTATTGTACTGACTTTCGTAATCCTCTTTGTCCAGCATGACGTGCTGGCGGTAAACGACGTCGGGGAATTGGTAACAAGTACTCGATATTGCGCTGAACTTTTATTTTGCACTCAACCTAATTGTTGGATTCATTGCGAAATTGTCGACTGCATGGGCCTCGCTCCACTGCACAACATTGCACATGCATTCGGACGCTTGTGGGACCAGGTGCATTCGGACGATTCCAACGTTATGAACGTGTCCGGTAAAGAAAGCGTCCAAATGCATGTACAGTCTTGGGTAGTCGAGCGAGCCCCTACGACTGCTCTATCGAGTGTTTGTCTCTACCCTCTACCCTGTCGCGCTGCCATGAATTCAATTTCGCTGCCATGAATTCAATTTTTTTTTATTAAACATTTGATATGCAGCTAGGGGCACGATTTCATCTGTAGGACTCTTCTACTACCATTGTTGATCTACGAAAAAATCGACGGTCAAAATCGGCTCACCCACGTCACGGGCTAAGAAGAATCATGCCCCACGCCCCATGAGGAGATGAATCTCACGACCCGCTCCCGCAGCACGAGCAGTAAGAGCAGTGCTGGCCTCGCGTCTAATTAACAACAAGCCATACACACCGAAACGTTGGGAGAAATGGAGGAAAGGGGGGAAAGGTGGGGGAAAGGAGGGTGGCCGGGGGGGGGGGTAGAGAAAATGGTTGCGAATTTAGCACACACACTGTTTTTCACTATTCATTTCAGAAACCTGTTGCAAAAGCCGTAACGATCCCAACGGCTGCAATAGGTACTTGTAATTCTCCTATATTCATCATGATCTCTACATTCCTTCTTCCTTCTTCCTTTCCCTTCTCCTCCCTCGCCGCTTCGGACACCATATAGCTACGGCGACATGAACTTTCGAGACCAACAAGTTCGGTTAAAATGACCCTTGGGTTTTGTTACAAATGGCCTGAGAAGTGGTCTGAAAATTGAGGCCTCACCCAAGAGCCTAGCTCAGTGGGTACACCCATGAACTGTTGAAATACAGACCTGTGTTCGAATCCAGATGATGGAACTTGACGAGTAAAACCGACTACTAATGAATTGCTTGGGGCAGGTCAGCTCGATGATAATATCTCAAGGCCGTCGCCCTTTCTAAAAAAGAATTTAATTTTTAAAAAAATAAAAAAAATTAGGCCTCCGTTAACCGTCTCTCCCTCACGTGGCTAGCTCGCTGCATGGGACAGACTGGCAGTTGTACATCTGGACGGCAGATTTTACGAAGATCGACAGCGAGAAACACGACGAAGTTAAAAAAAAAGGGTTGGGGGGGGGCGAAGGGGAGGGGAAGCGCGACGAAGTCCGGCTACGGAGAACGTGAGGCGTTGGTCCCGCAGCGCGCTCCCACTTAACCTCGAGTTCTTTTCTTCATGTTTGACAAAAAAAAGAAGGAAAAAAAATAAAAAAAATCAACGGTGAGGGGGTTGAGACAAGGGATTAAAAAACATTAGATATCCGGACATTCAGAACGACAACATCACAATTAATAGAATAATTAAAATAAAATAAACAACCGCGCTCTCCTTTTGGAAAACAACATATACTTCATCGAAAGCTGATCGTATGATTTTACTTGAGCGAATTCATTAAATAAAATAGTAGAATAAAACAGAAATACATATTACTGTAAACATCAACCTGTGAGGTGAGAGAAAAATATTTACATAGCTGTCCCCCGATGAGGAGAAGACCCAAAAAAAAAAAAAAAAAAAAATTGTTACTACTAGCTTCGACACGACTTGTCTCGAGCAACACCAATCAGGGGCCAGGCCGTACACACACTCAGACTTAGTCGACTGCACCTGGCCGTAACTTGAGTCAAGTACATCCATCCAGGACAATCCCAGTGCGAGTATGCACTTCCTAAAAGGAGAGCTACCCGCCCGCTCGCCCAACAGCTGCAGCCACATGTCGCACGCAGCTGCTGAACATTTCACGCGCCGAGGAGCCTGGTACGGTCCCTCTCAGGGCGTACTCACACTAGCACTATCTTAAATGTATCTAACCGCATTTACGACCGGACCTGTACGCATCTGGCCGCAATTCCGTCCAGAAATAAGCAACAAAACCCCTGTGTGAGTATGCCCTCAGTCCTTGTTTTTTTTTTTTTTTTTTTGCGCAGGGGCCATGCTAATCTTCTCTGTATCGTTCCAATTTTAACGGATGTCCCGAAGGACGTATGCCCTCAGTCTAGCTTCAGCCTCATATACACACAAAATGAACATTTCACGCGCCGAGGGGGGCCTGGGTACGGTCCTTCTCAGCCGCACATGTCACACAATTGGGAACAATATCCTCTGAAAAAAAATCAAAGGAAAACACCCTTTCACAGCAGGGAAAAATAACACGCCTTGCTGCGCACTAATTACGACGGCTCATTGTTTCCCTGGTGATTGTTTTTGTTGTTGTTTGTTGACGTCATGATTTTCTACAGCACCACACCATAAAAAAAGGGGCGCCCTTGCTGATTCTCTACAGCACCATCTACTAGACCACTCAAGAAAACACGGTGCTGTAAAAAAAGAAGGGGGGGGGGAGAGGGGGAGAAAGCCATTGTTGCGGCACCGTTGCATGAAGGGACACGTGTTTTTTTTCTTTCGTTTTACGTTTCTTGTTCAACTTTAACTCGGTGTACAGCCGTGAAGCAGCAGGCGACTAGCCTTCCCTCGTCTTCCCTCCGCAATGAGCATCCTCAACACTGACAGATCTGTGGGGTCCGTCACCATCTCTCTCTCTCTCTCTCTCTCTCTCTCTCTCTCTCTCTCTCTCTCTCTCTCTCTCTCTCTCTCTCTCTCTCTCTCTCT